CTTGGAAGACTAAGACACGAGAACCACTTGAATCTGGGAGGCGGAGGTTGCAGTGAGCTAAGATCGTGCCACTGCACTCCAGCCTGGGCAACAAGAGTGAAACTCCATCTCAAAAAAAAAAAAAAAAAAAAAAAAAAAAAGTCTAACTCTTTTACTTGTCTTTATGATGCTGTACAGTGAGAGCTAATGTTTATGAGGATAAACAGGATACCTAAAGGGATTTGAAGGTAATTTAATGCAGTGGTTTCCAACTTTTTAATCACCAAGGCCTTCTTTTTACTCCCCTATGTCCTGTGTTTTAAAAGATTCTGTTTACCAAACTGCATTTATTACATAATTATATTTTGCTACATAAAGGCATGTACAACACAAATCATGCTTCTGACTGGCACCATGTAGGCAGACCTAGGTACTAAAATTCCAGCCCAAAGCAAATAATTAAACATTTTCATTAGCCTTTTATCCCTTTTGTGGGCAAACATATCACCTATGTTAGGCTTTTTGAAATATGAACTATTACTTGTAAACTGCAGATTAAAAACTAACCAATTCATCTTTGATGGAGCTTGAATCAAACTAAGGGTACTGGACTTTTGAAAGATTGAAATTTTTGTTACACTACGGAATGTTTTCAACTGTGAATGTGGAAATAAAAGTTATTTAAGAATTACTTAGTGACTGTTTAGTATGTGCCAGGGTCCATAATTAGATGGGGCCAAAGAAAGACAGTCATTGTTCAAAGAATTTACAGTCCAGTGGGGGCTGAAGGAGGACAAAGAGTTAACCTTCAGATAATGAGATAATCCATGAAATAAAAGCCCACCTATTCAAAGCTTTGATAGGTAGCAGAAGCTAATGTAGTAGTGTCCAGTTTCTAAACCTGAATTCTGTAAAATAAAACCTACCTGTTAAGGAGTCGTCTACTTTGGAACTTTGAGAAAAGAGCCTAAATGATCAAAGTTTGCCTTCATAAGATTTTAAACAGCGAAAGAACCAAACTCCAAGAGGACCAAAGCTGAGAAAGTCAGAGTCTGATAATCTCTTTGAGGAAGAGGGGTGATTGGAATGTGGCTTAGGAGAGGTTTCTTCATACAAATATTTGATAGTGATAGAGGCAGGACAGGAAGTTGAGACATTCTAAGCAGATGTGGCAGGCCCCCCGTGAAACCCCACCTTTGAGCCGAACAGCCTGAAACCCACAGCCCAAAGTAAGAACTTCTAATCCTGTTTGCTTGCTCCCTCCTAGTTGGTTCTTTCTGAATAATGTCTTCTTACCAATTGAATGTTGCCTTTTCCAAAACTATCTATGGCCGCCCCACCCTCATTCTGTGCCTATAAAGACCCCATACTCAGTCAGTAGATGAGAGAGATGGCCAGACTTTTGGGAAAAGATAGCCAGACTTTGGGGAGAAGATGACCGGCCCTTTCTATCCCCTCTCTAGCTCCCCTCTCCACTGAGAGCCATTGTGACCACTCTATAAAATTCTCCACCTTCATCATCCTTCAAGTGTTCCACACAACCTCATTCTTCTTGTATGCCAGACAAGAGCTTGGGACCCACCAAGTTTGGCTACCCAAAAGGCTGTCACACCCGCTCTTTGCCCTCACTGGTGGCGGGTAGCTACCCCACGCAATGAAGCTAGGGGCCAGCTGAGCTGTTAACACACAGCCATCCTCAAACAGTGGCACTAAGAGAGCACTGTAACACTCCCTCTGGGGCTTTGGGGTCACAGGCACCCCCACATGGGCACCACCACAGACCCCAAATGGAGCTTGCTCCTGAAGCTGCCCAGAGCAGCCAGCTACACCCTGCAATCATTTGCTCATGCCTGCTCTGGTCACAGGCCCCGCACAGTGCTTGCTCGTGCTGGTGCCGGTAGTGGCCAGCCAGATCCTGCACTCGCTTGCTTACCTGCACACTCCTGCAAGAGGCTGAGCCCAGAGGGCTGGGTAAACAGGGTGCCCCGTCCTGAGTCCCACGAAGGAATCAAGAAAAAAAATCCTGCATCAATAGGAAATAAGACTGTCACTACCATCCCTGAGGGAGCGAGTGCATGACTATGGTAGAATAAGTGAATGCTAGCCAATAATCTGCCAATATAGTCCACTTGTCTTTTTTTTTTTTCCTGAGATGGAGTCCCACTCTGTTGCCTAGGCTAGAGTGCAGTGGCATGAACTTGGCCCACTGCAACCTCTGCCTCTCGGATCAAGTGATTCTCCTGCCTCAGCCTCCTGACGAGCTGGGATTACAGGTGCAAGCCGGTACACCCAGCTAATTTTTGTAGTTTTGGTAGAGACAGCGTTCCACCATGTTGGCCAGCCTGGTCTCAAATTCCTGGTGATCTGCCTGCCTTGGCCTCCCAAAGTCCTGGGATTACAAGTGTGAGCCACTGCACCCAGCCTCACCTGTCTTGATTTTTAATGCCCTTAGAGTGAGGCCACCATTATCTCTTGCTTGTACTATTACCACAGCCTCCTAACATGCCTCCCTGATTCCAACCCTTCTCTACAGGGCAGCTGGAATGATCTTCCTTTAGAACAAATCTGATAGTGCCACCCCCTCTCTGAATTTCCACAGTGATTTCCCACTACAGCCTGAAGTCCAAAGTCCTTAATGTGACATACATATTCTGATGCAACCCCATTTATCCACTTGTGCCATAAATATTTACTGAGCTTTTTTTTTTTTTTTTTTTTTTTGAGACAGAGTCTCGCTCTGTCACCCAGGCTGGAGTGCAGTGGTACAATCTTGGCTCACGGCAACCTCTGCCTCCCGGGTTCAAGTGATTCTTCTGCCTCAGCCTACTGAGTAGCTGGGATTACAGGCATGTGCCACCACACCCGGCTAATTTTTGTATTTTTAGTAGAGAGGGTGTTTCACCATGTTGGTCAGGCTGGTCTTGAACTCCTGACCTCGTGATCCACCCGCGTCAGCCTCCCAAAGTGCTGGGATTAGAGGCGTGAGCCACTTCGCCCAACATTATCGAGCTTTTAATATGTGTTAAGCATTGGGTGCTACAAAGCAGGGTGAGCATAAATGGACAAGTCTCTGGCGGGACGGAGGTTATAATTGCAGAAGAGAAACTAATGGAGGTTATAATTGTAGAAGAGAAACTAATTAGAATCGTTAATAAAGTTGCAACCATAACAAGTGCCTAAAAGGAGAGGCATATGATACTACAGTGGGGAGTCTGACCTAGTTGGGGAAGGGTTTCTGCAAAGTACTTACCTTTCCTTCCTATTATTTACCCATGAACTCTCTGCAGTTCCCCAAGAATGCAGGCACCGCCCTCCTGCCCTGTGACCATTCCACGAGATGTTCCCTCTGTCAAGATTGCTCCCTCCGTACCTAGCTCCATTATTTTCTAGTACTTGGTATGTGTTGGGTACCGTGATAAGCACTTAACATCGATTTTCTCTTGTATTTACCTCAGTGAGCGCAACTGTTAACCCTGTTTTATAAATAAGAAACTATGCTTTAGAAAGGCAAATTTGCTCAAAGACTCACAACCAGTAAGTGAAGAAACGAATTCAAATCCCGGAGAGCCCGACTCGAAAACGGTCTGGGCGGCACAGTCTTGTGTCTCCCAATTCCTTCCTGTCCAGGCCTCACGTATCCGCCCGTCTTTCCTGACCGACTCCTGGTGACGGTCTACTGCCTCCACGGGCCACGGCCATGGCAAGGTAACAAGTGTAACTTGTCGCCTGCCCCACTAGGCTGAGCTCTTCCCGGACAGGGACTGGCCTTTTCCCTTTGGTCGGCTCCGTGACTCCGGGTAGACGCCCCTCAGACGCCACGCGCGACGGTGGCTCACGTGGGCCAGAAGTGTTCCCCTTCTCCCCTCCCCGCGGCTTTTCTAGGAAAGCAGGAAGACTTGGTTCGACTCCATGGTGCGCGCCCCAGCCCCGTGAAGCCCAGAGTGGTGAGGACGGCCGCCCGCAGCCGGGCAGTCAGTGAGTGCGCGCAGAGAGCCCGCAGGCGGAAAGTCCTGGCAGTGAGCATCTCGAGCGAGGCCCGCGACCCCTCATCATGACTACTAGTTGGGGCGGGGACGGCATGGGCGCGGCCGCCAAGGTAGCGCCGAGTGGGGGGAAGACTGATGGGCGCCTGGAGACAAGCTCCCACAGAGGCCGCGTATTTGGAGCTGGGAGCCGGGCCCGCCCATCCCGGTGAGTCGCTAGCTGTCCCCTCCGCCTGGTCTCCGTGCCTTGCGCCCCCAGCGCCGTCCAGCCCTGCAGCTTTGAGGCCCTTCCGGCGCACGCACCCCGCCCGGATCCCCTGGCGCTGCCCCGGGAGGCTCTGCCTAGCCCGGTGCTCGAGGACCCGGGCCTCAGTGGTCAAAGGCGGCGCGGGGTGCGCCCAGGCCCTGCCCCTGGCAGGCTGGACCGCCAGTCCGCGCATGAGGCCATCTGCGAGGCACGAGTGCAGGAGAGTGAAGGAGACCGGGGCTGCTGAGTAAGGACCTTCAGTGAATGGAAGGTTATTCATGAGGCCTTCTGACACTCCAGAAACGGAATTTCTCCAGGGTTTGATGAGTATCAGGGTGGTGGCTTCTTGAGTTTTGAACAGGCATCACAAATAAATCCCTCTGGAATTTTTTCTGCATCTGTTCCGTTTTGGGTTTTGCGTGTGTGTGTTTTTGGAGATGGAGTCTTGCTCTGTTGCCCAGGCCAGAGTGCAGTGGCGCAATCTCAGCTCACTGTAACTTCCACCTCCCGGGTTAAAGTGATTCTCCTGCCTCAGCCTCCCAAGTAGCTGGGATTACAGGTGCCCACCACCACACCAGGCTAATTTTGTATTCTTAGTAGAGAGAAGGTTTCACCATGTTGGCCAGGCTGGTCTTGAATTCCTGACCTCAGGTGATCCACCGGCCTCGGCTTCTCAAAGTGCTTGGATTACAGGCGTCAGCCACTGCACATGGTCAGAACTTAGTCCTTATAGAACATCAGAGAATCCATACAGGTGAGAGGTCTTATAAATGCAGTGGGTGTGGGAAAGATTTGAGGGGTAACTCACAATTTATTCAGCATCAAAGAATTCACAGTGGAAACTTTATGAATGCAACGAATGTTCAAAGACTTGTAATCAGAGCTCACACCTTATTCAACATCATAGAATTCATAGTGGAGGAAAGCCCTGTGAATGTGACAAGCATGGGAAAGCCTTCAGATGGAGCTTAGACCTTGTGAGGCATCTGGAAATTCATAGTGGAGATAAAGTTTTGGAATGTAGCGAGCATGGAAGAATTTTCAATCAGAGCTCAGGTCTAATACAGCATCAAAGAAACCAAACAGAATCATAACCCTAGGAAGACAGTAATGATAAAGATGTCAGTATGTACATACAGGAAGAGAGGAGAGTTTGTTTTTGTCATAACTGCTTGGAAAATTCTAAGCTTCCTAAGACCTAATTTTCGTCTGATTCAGTGTATACTACTTAGTCTCAGGTCATGTGCAGATATGTCCTCCCCAAATGCTTACCACAAGATAAATCAGAAATCTTGACTGGAATAAGCTTCTAGTTCCATTTCACCCCTTTATCGTCAGAGGTTCCACACCACAGGAAAATCTTGTAAATGGTGGAAGCTGCATAAAGCACCATCATCATCACAAAATGGTGTCCTTGTGTCTCCTGTTTAGCAGCACTGGGAATCTAATAGCTTTTCCCTTGTCTTTTTTTCCTTATTATGAATTGTGCCAGGGGAACGGTAAAATGGCTATGATATCCTGAACTCTAGGGTGGATGTCTTTCTGGGACAGAATCTAATCCAAAAGTCTGCAAATGGACTTGAGATTTTCACATTAGTATACATGTCAATATGTAGTTTAGGGAGTTTGCGTTATTCCTCCATTCCTAGCAAAATTAGACACAGAAGCAGCTAATTAAATCAGGAAAGGGAAATTGATGGTAAGTCGTAAGACCCATTGTCTTCTTTCACATAAAAGTAGAAGTTGTGATTCAATCTATTCTGTAGGATTTGAAAGTATAATAGCACATTGAAGTCTGACATACCGAAATCCAGGCTCTGTCAATTTCATCTCGGTAACCTTTATTGTTTCTGAGTCTTGATATTTCTCATCTGTAAAATCAAGATAATGACAATAATACAATCCCTTCTGTGGCAACTGTGAAGACTAAACGAGACAATTTCATTAAGTTCCTAGCATAGTTCTAGACACACAGTAGACATTCAACAAATGATAACTAATTTTATCCATAGCTCCTAAGTGCAGTAATTATCAATGGCACTTTGAAGGAAAAAAGATAATATATCCCCCAAACATGACCTTGAGGATTACAAGATTCTGCACTTCCTGATCCTACTTGATGTCAGAATGGGCTTGGCCCAGTATAAGTAAATTGCAAGGATTTGGAGCAGGGGGGTGTTATGCACATTTTCAAGGATACTATATCTTGGAGAAACAAATTTAATAATCTGAGAACTACACAGTTGAATAACAATTTTTCCTGGAGAGACTAGGATTAAGCTATTTTATAAAAGTATTGAGAGAAAAACTATTTTATAAAAGCATTGAGAGACTGGATCATCAATATCCTGCAAATTTCATAGTGAGATAAATTTATTTTTAATTAGTTTTTTTTTTGTTTTTTTTTTTATGACGGAGTCTCGGTCTATAGCCCAGGCTGGAGTGCAGTGGCACGATCTCAGCTCATTGCAACCTCTGCTTCCCGGGTTCAAACGATTCTCCTGTCTCCTGTGTAGTGGGGACTACAGTCGCCTGCCACCACGCCGGGCTAACCTTTTTGTATTTTTAATAGAGACGGGGTTTCACCATGTTGGCCACCGCGTCTCAAAAAAAAAAAAAATTTTTTTTTTTAAATTAAAAATAAACAAAAAAACACCAACTCCTATTTCCCCCATCGCAATAAAATCAACCTTAGAATTCTTTTTTCTCCTCCCCTCCCCGTACCCGGCCAGTGGTTGGGGAATATTTTTTTCGTGGAAGGGACCGTCTTCCTCAGCTGTGACCCTCTCATCAGGTCTGGGAAGAGGTAACTGGAAAATAGAACTCCTGGAGAAGTGTTACCACAGGCCATGCAGAAGGCCAGAATTTCCTTGTGACATCTGTCCACCAGCACCGCCCTTTCAGGTACAACTCCACAAGAGACCCGCCAAACTTGGTGAAGTCACCCGCTTACAGGGCTCGCTCTCCACCTGAGCAAGGACTGCAATTCCCAGGGGCCTCCAGGGCATCCGGCCGCGCCATTCCAGTCGTGCAGGCGGCGCGCTCTTTCCCGCTCCACTCAAGTACGGGAACCGGTTCCCGGGATCCCAGCCTCTCGGCAGCGCCCACGCGCCTGGGCCGAAGTCCGCGAGCGGAAGCGGGAGGCGCGGAGGCTTCTGGGAGATGGAGGCCGAGGCTGCGACCTGCGCAGGCGCAATCCTGCAGCTGGGGGTGAGGGCTGGAAGTGGCGTGGTTCGCGGCAGCGCCCGGATGGAACCTCGTGGTCCTGTGAGGTGAGTGTTTGCGGCAGCTTCCTCGAGGTCCACCTCGCGGCTTGGCTTTTGCCCGTCCCGCAGGCAGCGGCGGCTGTGTATTGAGCGGGCCTGGCAGGCAGCTCCGCGGGCGTGTGTGGAGAGGGGTTTGGGTTGCCCACGGTGCCCGCGCTGCGCTGCCCGCGTTGCATCACGTGCCGTGGAGGGGGGTCATGATGTCCCTCTAATCTTTTCTCGAGACCCCTGGGTAGGGAGTGAAGGGTGGGAGGGGGAGTTCTACCTGGCCTGGACGACGGCCTCCTTCCCGCGCTCCCGGGCGGGCACCTGCCCCAGGCCGGGGTAGAGAAGTTTTGCTGGGGCCAGCGCCGCCGGGCATCACCGTGGGAGACACGAGCTCCGCGTTTTTCTTCGCGCCTCCTTTGTCTTCGGCCAGCGGTCCCTCTTTGTGCTCCTTTCGTGGCCTCTGATGCGTCCCACCTCCTTCCCTGTGGTGAAAGGAAAATAAAATCTCAAGACCCCAAACTTACTCTGCCAAAGGGAAAAGTTAAGCTTGGAAACTGAGTCACGGGAAAAAAAACTGCTTTTCCTTTTGTTCCTAAACCGATAGCTGCAAGATAGAAAGCAACATATGCCCCCAGGTGGCCTCCCTCACCCTGGCAATGTAAATGAACAGCCCAACTTCACCGGACAAGACTAGAAATGCTTCGTCCACCCACCCGGAGACGAAGCTATTTGACTTCTTCCTCTACTCTAGATCTACTTTATCTTGTGGAAAATGCAGATTTACTGAGCACCAGACAAATTCATAATTGACTTCCTCTTTTCACGTGCAACAGGTGAACTCAGCTCTAATCAAATCCTCACAAGAATGTGGCCACTTACCTCACTACATACCCCCCCTCTTCTTTACTCCTTCCCCTCCTTTGCCAGCTTTCTCCCCATTAAATTGAAGCCCTCAAAACCCTCGGTGGTAAAAGTGCGGGCCACGGATCTTACTGTGGCTTGCTTGTGTGTCTTTTTCCTGGGTGCATCCTCAACCTTAGCAAAGTAACCCCTAAATTGGTTGAGACCTATCTCAGATGCTTTTGTGGTTTACACCTGTTAGATTCCTTGACCCAGGTCACTGTACCCGAGTTTTGTTCATAGCTGCCCCTTAATAGGGCTTCTGCGTTTGAATGAGATCCAACTCCGTAGAGGGGACTTAACGTTTTTCTTTTGCTGAAACTGCTACTTCAGAAAGTTTTTAAAGCAGGGAGGAGTCTCCCCAGCAAACCCAACCTTGCAGTGAAAGCTGCTGGGCTCTGGGCTCTGCATCTGGAAACTTGGGTTTTGCTTCAAACTTGTTTCTTCCCAATAATCATTTCTTCCCATAGGCCCCCATAACTTTTTTTTCCTTGATATTTTTTCCTGTTAATGGCATTTATTTAGTTGTATTGTAGAAAACCACTTTACATTCCCGTCTCTACAACAAGGCAAGTTTCTCAAAAGCATTGACTTAGTACATCAGAATTCTCGGGAGGGGTGGAAGAAAAAGCCGGACTAAGGGGTATATATAGTACAGAGTTTGGCTCTTTGTAGTGCTGAGTATATGTTTAATGAATCAAAAAAAGAAGAGGCCAGGCATGGTGACTCATGCCTGTAATTACCACTTTGGGAGGCCGAGGCGGGTGGATCACCTGAGGTCAGGAGTTGAAGACCAGCCTGGCCAATATGGCAAAACCCTGTCCCTACTAAAAATACAAAAAAATTAGCTGGGCGTGGTGGTGGGCGCCTGTCATGCCAGCTACTCGGGAGGCTGAGGTAGGAGAATCTCTAGAACCCTGGGGGTGGAGGTTGCAGTGAGCTGAGATCGTGCCACTGCACTCCAGCCTGGGTAACAGAGTGAGACTCTGTCTCAAAAAAAAGAAGAGGAGGAATGATTTCTTCTTATGTTACAGGGGGCCCTTGCAATATTCCAGCTGGTATGAGCCTTCTGCAGAGCTAGTCCAGACTAGAACGGCTGTATCACTAACAGCAGCTGAAACTCTGGCCCTTCAGGGTACACGGGGACAAGAGAAGATTATGATGATGGAACCAAAGGAAGAGGAACAGTCTTGTGAGTATGAGACCAGGCTACCTGGGAACCACTCTACCAGTCAAGAGATCTTCCGCCAACGCTTCAGGCATCTCCGCTACCAGGAGACTCCTGGTCCCCGGGAGGCCTTGAGCCAGCTACGGGTACTCTGCTGTGAGTGGCTAAGGCCAGAGAAACACACGAAGGAGCAGATCCTGGAGTTCCTGGTGCTGGAACAATTCTTGACCATCCTGCCTGAGGAGCTCCAGTCGTGGGTGCGGGGACATCACCCTAACAGTGGAGAGGAGGCTGTGACTGTGCTGGAGGATTTAGAGAAAGAACTTGAACCAGAGCCGCAGGTGAGAATCGGGATTTGGTCTGTTATGGGAGCCAGATCAATGACCTTCAGGCTGGACAGAGGGGCAGCAGTAGGGGGAGTTGCCAAGGTCAAACCTCTCTTGGGCCAGGTAGAGCAGTTAATGTGTGTTTCTGTGTCTGTCTTTTCCGCCCTGAATGAGAAAGAGACTCTAGCTCCTTTTCCTTCCCTTGTGCTGACTCCGAGGAGGCTCTCTAAAGTCTTCTTGGAAGCTTTGGTACAAGGAGAGTCACATCTGCAAGTGTCCAGGCAGGGGACAGAAACCACACTAGTAATTTGAAGAAAATTTAAAACTGAGTGGTGCCCGATCACCTCCAGGTCCCAGGCCCTGCACATGGACCTGCACAGGAAGAGCCATGGGAGAAGAAGGAATCTCTGGGAGCAGCCCAGGAAGCACTGAGCATCCGGCTCCAGACTAAGGAGACCCAGCCTTTCCCAGAGAGTGGTGAGGAGCAGGATTCTGTGGGGAGGGAGAGGAGAAAGAGGGACGATAAAGGGCACAGTACCTAGTACCTGTAAAGGGTAAATAGTAGTAGGCACTTAAATGTTTGGTATCATCACAGCCTTACAATTCTTATCTCTTAGGTGAGAGACTTTGCCTGTTTCATCACTCGTAAAATTAGGAGTAAGAATAACCTGCCTCAAGATAGCTCTGAGGATGAAGCTGAACTTGGGTCATATCTGGATACAAAGCCTGGCCACTGTCTCTTAACTTTAGAGAGCCCTAAATCAGGACCAGGAAATAGTTCATTCACTTATGCCTTATCATCTTCACTGCACTTAACTCCTAGTCTATAATAACTGTGCCCTGAGCTAGAGGCCAGCCTTGAGATCCTTTTTTTTTTTTTTTTTTTTTTAAAACTCCTGAGGCCTCGCAAAACACACTTTTTAAGCCATAGAGCACTCCTATGTGAGATACAGCCTGTCATCACCTTTACCACCTCTTCCTCATGTAAACAGCCCTATTTGAGGCCGAGACGGGCAGATCACAAGGTCAGGAGATCGAGACCATCCTGCCTAACACGGTGAAACCCCGTCTCTACTAAAAAACATAAAAAAAACTAGCCAGGCGAGGTGGCGGGCGCCTGTAGTCCCAGCTATAGCCTCGGGAGGCTGAGGCAGGAGAATGGCGTAAACCCGGGAGGCGGAGCTTGCAGTGAGCTGAGATCCGGCCACTGCACGCCAGCCTGGGCGACAGAGCGAGACTCTGTCTCAAAAAAAAAAAAAAAAAAAAAGCCCTATTTGAAACTCTCTTATGTGTGCCCTCACCTTCTACCCTTCAGATTCACTACAGAAACTTCCTTCTTGGCCTGCATACATACCCGCAAACAACCTCTCCTCTCTGCCAGTGGCAAACACGAGACTTAGAGCCTCAGGAGTGTGAACTCTCCTTGTTGACCTCTGTAGCATCGTGACCGTATTGTGAATACGCTGCTAACCAAAAAGAGTCTACTTGATATTTGCTTTTACACCATAACCCCTCCCCGACACCACTATCACCAAACCAAGGCATTTGAAAAAATCAAATTCTTGTTAGTTACAAAATGGGAAAAAATAGAAATGGAGATTAGTTAGATTCTGTCCCAAAAGTATGTTTCTACTTTTTAGCTCTTCTTTCTTCTTTGCCTTTTTTTCAGACTTTTTCTTGTCTCCTTTACTTCTGTTTAGTGAGCCTGTATTCAGTTATCACTTTTATTACTTTACTTTCAAAAAGAAGCTAGCTATTGTGTGATTTTTTTTTTTTCTCTATAGCAAGCATATTTCAGATTTTTTTAACCACAACATTTAACCTGAAAAAATGAATTTTTAAAAATCAAATGATCTTGGCTGGGCACAGTGGCTCACACCTATAATCCCAGCA